CCTACAGGATATGAACATTGTCCATGTTTGGTCATAAAAATTGCTATGTGAATAGAGCTAGCACATGAAATGTCATTCGAATCGTCGAATTMTAAAATTCGCTGYTTTATATTCGTAGTCTACATGGACGCAGAACATTTTATGCARTTTCACTTSTCGCAATGTGRACGCTGTTATCGTCCGTTGCCGTCAGTCAACGAAATCGTTGCCAAGGTTTTGGTATAGTTGTCATGGTTTTAATATCGTTTCCAAGGAGACGATTTCGTAGGCCAATGGGTTGCTATAGCTCCGTCGTTTGGCCTTTTTCGGTCCGGAAGAACAAACCAGAAAGACGCGAAAAAAAAACTGTCAGACTAGATATGGGTAGCGGTATAGGGAAACTGCCAGTCTACCAAGAAAAATTGAATACAAATTCTCGTCGAATGGAAGAAAGAATAGAAAGACTTGAAACAGATATACAGAAGATAAGAGAAGAACTGTTCGACCGCGCTGAGAAGAACTGTTTTGAGTCGCCGGTTTTGAACAGAAGGCCTTCGTGCTCAGCTAATTGTGCAAGAACTAACCAAAGACTACGACGTTTGTCAACGATGAGCATAGGGGAAACAAGTATGTCCATTCTTGCTATAACAGTGTGCCTAATGCTATTTTTTGCCAACAAAGTTTTCAATGTCCTACTTGAGCATCGAGACTCGATTCGCCCAAGATTTTTTTCTTACTTTTCCTTTTCTTCTTGCATTGTACAATATATTATTGTATTTCTGACAGTAATCGATTGATTACAGAACACTGTCGCAGTTGCGAAAATATTAGTAGTGAAAAAATATTGAAATACAATTAATGGAAATAACACAAAAAAAAAACACATAAGGGAAACGACTTTTTGTGTTTTTCCTTTTAGGACTCGTAACCTTTTGTCACAACTAACATTATAAAAAGTTAAAAGCTAATTTAAAAAGTTAAAAGCTTTAACGCTAGGTTATCTCGCTAGTTATCTCGGAAATATTTCGAATCATTTTTTTATCCATACGAGTAAATTGTTTTCAACCTTTACATCGATAGCTGTTTTTCTATTTGATTGACAGGTGGAGCTCTTGTCAAAAGACGAGGTTCAACTGTAGTTTTCTCTGAAAAACTCCTCAGGGCTGAGTTGGAAAGATTACGAATGGAGAACAATGGATTGGYGAACCAGTTGGCACAAATTAAAGGACTGAATAATGTTAACTAAAGGCCACTCGGCCTGGTACTTTATCAAACCTTGATCTGTATTYTTATTTACACTAAATTGAAAAAACCTCGGTCAGGCTAAAGATAGCGACATTTGTTACCGGCTACTTAACGTGTGAATCATGCACATTGCAACATTACACGCGGAAAGAAGCAATTTTGATACGTATAATACAGTGTGGGCAATGCTCAATCAAACTCAACCATTTGCACAGTCTAATCATATGACTTYCCAAGCTTCCTTTCGGTCTTAGCATTAATGATGTGACCATTTAGGAACCAAAGTTTTTTTCAATTTGGTGTATGTTGATGTATTGTTTTAAGTCCTTTTTTCAAACTGCATGTAAATTATGAGCTTTATTACCACTGCGCATTTTCTTATAGTGAATATGATCAGTTTYGGTTAGATTAATGAACAGGGAGGAAATAGGAACAGGGTGGATTCAGTGGAAGGGGATCTAAAGCCTACGGCATGTGGACGCTATTTTTGGGGACTTGCCTCATTGTCCACAGAGAGTCGTACGGTACGACTCTCTGTGGACAATGGTTTTTTTAGCCGAAGAAAAAGTCTCTCCAGTCGTCCAACAACATGTACGAGTATAAATTCACTAGATCCAGTCTCCACCTCTATCTGCTCCTGGTACTAAATAGCGTTKCCCAATAAAGCTTTTTACTCTGAAAATATGCATTGCTTTTCAATTAATTTAATTTAATTTTAATTTATTAGCTTTGCCCCTAGTATGGGCAGGGAAACCGCAACTGCAAGAGACTAAAAATTAAATCCGACAAAATCAGCGCCATGAAAAGCGACTCGACTAAATATCATTAATGCAAAAATGTAAACGTGTTATTGTCCAGTAATAATGACAAATAAATCTGAATTACGCCAACAAGATAATTATATCTTTCATTTATTCAGAAGTATAATTTTCAATATACTGCTSTGATAGTTTGCGACAGCTCTCATTGGCTGAGAAGTGTTCTCTATAACATGAACGTAATATATAATTTTTCAAAATTTCATAGATCAAAAAAACAATCAGCATTGCTCTTTCTTTTTCAGAAAATATAAAAGATAAATTCTGACRAAGAAGCGAATGAAAAAGGTTCTCTCGGCTATTTTTCTTCAAGGATCAAAGTTCTTTATAATGCGCCTTTCAAACACCGACAGAATCTTAATTGCACCACAATGAGGAATTAGATTCAAAACCTAGTCTCGGCAAATAAAACATTGACTTCCTATAACCACAATGTTCATTTTTACATTTTACCAGAGAAAACACTGTATAGCAATCAATGAAACCGCATAATATAAAAATACCACAAAACAGAATTGTTAATGAAAGTCCAAGTCAATAACTTGCAAGTATTTTCGAACCGCAATGATATTATCTATTGAGGTACAGTGTAGGTGATCAGGTAGGCTGGATAACTCATAGCGTTGTTATATAAGACGTAGATTCTATGCCCGAAAGTTACGCCTGTAACACTATCATATTCCCGTCTTGTTGTTTCATTGTGTGGTGGTTTAATGATATTCCTRTCACTGGGTAAATCTRCAGCATCCCCTGTTAGTACTTGTGCAAGAAACATCTGACGTACAATTTGCCCATTTTCTCCCTGTGTTACATGTGCATATGTATGACTATAAGCCGCATTGACAGCAAAGTAGCAACCTTTTCCCCACATGCCTTGTGCAGAGTAGCGCATGTCAAAACCAGCTTCACTGTTCCATATTTCGCTTGGTTTAGTGCCTCTTGTACCGTGGAACAATTCTTTGTCATTCACATTAGCTTCTCCTAGATAATAATACATAATTTATTGGTATTGCTTAACTATTTGGGTGKTTATTCRCGGTATTGCTATTATGAACAAAGCATTGAAATGAGGCATCATTGCAAAGTGAATACAATACGTTWATTTTATGTTTGAATGCTTTGTACACCGCAACAACTGAACTAATCGAGGGAAAATAGTGAATTTWGTCCCCATCATCATTCCCTAGATAGCTTCCTTGTCAATAAAAAAMSRAAAAMCC